AGGAGTAGGAAGGTATAGGCATGTTGAAGGGGGGGGGAGGGGAGGAGGGAAAAAAAAGTGACAAGAGAAAATTTTGAGGTTCTGAAAAGGCTTTGGGGGTAATTGAATAAAGGAAAAAAGAACTTATGCTTCATAAGCTCAACCAGGCAAAATTATGGCCAACTTTCAGTGGAGATCAAACCCCTGTGCTCTGTAAGCTTATTTGGGGGGATCTGGTGGTGGGTGGAGGGTGGCAATAGGGCAGTGAGTGAGAATTGTTTTCTTCTAGTTTCTTAGCAAAAGTTCCTTTTGAGAAACTTCATTCTTTTTTTTTTTTTATTTATTTTACTTTTTTTTCAACGTTTTTTATTTATTTTTGGGACAGAGAGAGACAGAGCATGAATGGGGGAGGGGCAGAGAGAGGGGGAGACACAGAATCGGAAACAGGCTCCAGGCTCTGAGCCATCAGCCCAGAGCCTGACGCGGGGCTCGAACTCACGAACCGCGAGATCGTGACCTGGCTGAAGTCGGACGCTTAACCGACTGCGCCACCCAGGCGCCCCAAGAAACTTCATTCTTATATTGACTTAAACAAGAGGGATAGGAATGTTTCAAAATCTCAACATAAAATGCCTTGTACATGATAAATATTCAACTAATGTATCCTTCACCCTTCTCTGCCCCAACCCACTAAAGAGATATTGGTAGCAAAACTAGATCCATTCCAGAGCCAGGGAAAAAAGAGAGAATTATGAATACCAAAAAGATGGAGTGAGATCAACCATGAGTGTTAGTGCCTTTTTACAGTGGTTCCCTGAGGAACTTAAGGATTGGTTTTGAAATGTGAAAGGAAATCTTTATATAGTTTTATATGAAGAGTTGTATTCTAATCTCTAAGAGATCATTGAAGGGTGAACTGTCAGGCTATCTGAAATTCTGTCAGTTTTCCCACTGACTGGCAAAAATCACCTTTCTTTGCTGTTCTCTGATCCTTGCTCCCAGTTGTTAAATTTGCTTTCATTATGAACATGGTGGTGGTCTAGGAAGTAGCTTATATTTGCGGAATCCTCTTCCTTAAGCATGTCTTGGTGACAATATCAAGGAAAATGGGGACTTAGTAAACAGAGGCTGACCGGAGTCTTCATCTGTTTGTTTGCAAAAGAATTGCTAAATTCTTCACTTGTGATTTGGAACAGTATATTTTAGGAGTTTCATAATAAAAGAACTAATGAAACTGAAAATCACCTCAAGACAAAAGAATACTTAAATTTTATGTTGCAAAACAACCTTTACCCTTTTGTAAAATGCTTAATGCCCAGAGCAAGAAAAATTCTTAGCTAAGGTAGTTTAGAATGTCAATTTTATTACATTTAACATTTTATCTTTTTTGGAAGATGGGGAAATTTGGGATGCACTTCCCATTGGTAGAGCTAATATTTATTGAGTACTTGGTGTAGGTTAACAACTGTTCTAACAGTTTTATACATTATATATATATTTACTCCTCCTTATAACCATGAGATTGATATCAATTATCCTCCCTCCAATTTTGTAAATAAGGAAACTGATGCACATAGAAATAAGGAAATGCACTTGTCTAGATAAATTTGTAGATGAATTTATTGCTAGCAATTTGCTATCTGGTTTTATTTCTGTCTTATTGTTTGTATCTGCATATGATAGGACAAAATCACCCATGCTCTGGGTGGAACAAAAAGAATGACAGTTAGATAAGAATGTTTCCAAAGATTTTCACATCTCTAAAAGCAGTGTGAGAATGCATCCCTGAATTTTTAGCCCAGAGCCACCAGTTCAGACTTTCCTGTGTATACTTAAAGTTCACCAAAGAGTCAGTTTCTTTGAAGCCGTAAGTCTCTCTTAGGATCTCTTGTTTCTCATCCATCAGTCCTTTCTGATCAGACTTATGGATGGGCCAGAAGCCATCTCCAATTATCTTTAGGACATTGGTCATGGCGTGGGGGAAATGAGGGGGTGATGTGCTCCTCAGATATCATAGCTGGATCTCAGGGTACCATTCTCTTCTGCTTATTTGTACTTATTGGGAGGTCTGCCTCTCCTTCCCCCACCCCTCATACATAAGTCTGTGAATTCTTTGGAGGCAATTTGTCTTATTTTTTAATCTTTACTTCCTTAACACTGACTATGATACTTCATACACTTGAATGCACCTAAGTTGAAATTTCATTTACCATTAGTAAACAGTTGAGCTACAGAACAATCCAGATTATTATTAAATTTAACCGGAGTGTTTGGTTTTAAAGTATTTGACATAGAGATTGTTTTAGTTATAGAGAATAAATTGACACAATTAAAAACATTTAGGGGTGCCAGGGTGACTCAGTCGGTTGAGCGACTGTCTTCAGCTCAGGTTATGATCTCACCATTCATGGGTTAGAGCCCTGCATCGGGCTCTGTGCTGACAGCTCAGAGCCTGGAGCCTGCTTCAGATTCTGTGTCTCCCTCTCTCTCTGCCCCTCTCCTGCTCACACTCTGTCTCTCTGTCTCTCAAAAATAAATAAACATTAAAAATTTTTAAAAAAATATTTAAGCAGTTTTGATTTAATTTTTTTTTTTAATTTTTTTTTTCAAACGTTTATTTATTTTTGGGACAGAGAGAGACAGAGCTTGAACGGGGGAGGGGCAGAGAGAGAGGGAGACACAGAATCGGAAACAGGCTCCAGGCTCTGAGCCATCAGCCCAGATCCCGACGCGGGGCTCGAACTCACGGACCGCGAGATCGTGACCTGGCTGAAGTCGGACGCTTAACCGACTGCGCCACCCAGGCGCCCCAGCAGTTTTGATTTTAAATCCAATGAATAAATAAGTATTTGTTAAATGTTGAATTATATATCTCAGTCTTTTCTTGGTGCCCTAAGTAGCCTAGTTTCTTTCTTCTGTGGGGAAAACATCAGGATGCCAAGTCACATTTTGTGTTTTAAAATGGGTGAGAGAGTACCGGGTTTTTGAGTTCCAGTGAACTGTTTGGTAATTTTGCTGTATTAGAAAGGTTAAGAGGCGCCTGGTTGGCTCAGTCGGTTAACCATCCAACTTCAGCTCAGGTCATGATCTCACCGTCTCATGGCTTGTGGGTTCTAGCCCCATGTCAGGCTCTGTGCTGACAGCTCAGAGCCTGGAGCCTGCTTCGGATTCTGTGTCTCCCTCCCTCTCTGCCCCTCCCCTGTTTGCACTCTGTCTCTCTCTCTCAAAAATAAATAAACATTAAAAAATAATTTAAAAAAAGGTTAAATAACATGCCTAAGGTCATATACTGATAAATATCAGACCAATGAATAGATATGTCTGACTTCACCTTCCAAATATTTCTGTACACTATTTAGCAATGTAAATAGGTGCTCGAGAAGATGCCAAGGTAGATCTCTAGTTCATCTTCTGAGAAGACAGCTCTCAACTAGATGCCAGGAATTTTATACTACCTTCTATGTTTCTGAACATAACCAAATACTCACTGAAACCGAGCTACAACTGCATCTGTGACCATTGCTATAAACAGGAGGTATATGTTGTGGCAATCTTGAACTCTGAGGGGAATGGACTTGGGGAGATCAGGGAAGGCTTCCATGAGTTAATGAAGTTTGAGCTGTGGGGAATTTGACACAGTCTATGTGACTTCAAGCCACAGCATCATTCTATACCTGTTCTGGGTGGTACTGCTTCAGACTTGGATCCATGAATGTGAGCAGCTAAAAGGCAGTGGAATTGGTCACATCCATCTAAGTTGTTAAAAGTTAATTCCACTAGAACTGCAACACAAAACTGGGCAATTAGGAAGAATTAATAAGAAAACTAATAAGTATAAATACTCCATATACTGTTTCCATTTATTAATCCAGATCTTATTTTTCAGGTGAAAGTTATTATACTCCACTTTCATGCCCACAATATCTTTACCTCCCCAACACACATACACCGAGTTGGATTTATAATCACATAGCTCTTGTAGGCTAACAGGCTAAATGGCCTTTCAGGGCCCACAGCCTGGGGGATTCCAAGTCGGAGAAGAAAGAAGATACTTAATGTGGAACCAGAATTCTCTTGGCTAGCTGTTATTCTTGTAGCCCCCATGTATCCAGAGCTGCCCAGGCTCTTGAATTTATGGAAAAAAATAGAAGGCCTTGTCCTTGTTCTAAGGGGCTTGCTGCCCTGTTAAAAGACAAGACGATGGGAATGCAAGCTGGTGCAGCCACTCTGGAAAACAGTATGGAGGTTCCTCAAAAAACTGAAAATAGAACTACCCCACGACCCAGCAATTGCACTACTAGGCATTTATCCAGGGGATTCAGGTGTGCTGTTTTGAAGGGACACATGCACCCCAATGTTTATAGCAGCACTATCAACAATAGTCAAAAGTATGGAAAGAGCCGAAATGTCCATCGATGGATGGGTAAAGAAGTTGTGGTATATATATATAATGGAGTATTACTCGGCAATCAAGAAGAATGAAATCTTGCCATTTGCAACTACATGGATGGAACTAGAGGGTATTATGCTAAGTGAAATTAGAGAAAGACAAAAATCATATGACTTCACTCATATGAGGACTTTAAGAGACAAAACAGATGAACACAAGAGAAGGGAAGCAAAAATAATATAAAAACAGGGAGGGGGATGAAACATAAGAGACTGTTAAATATGGAGAACAAACAGGGTTACTGGACGGGTTGTGGGAGGGGGATGGGCTAAATGGGTAAGGGGCACTAAGGCATCTACTCCTGAAATCATTGTTGCACTATATGCTAATTTGGATGTAAAATAAAGAAAATTAAAAAAAAAAAAAAAAGACAAGACATGTGCGAATAAAACTTGAATTTAAGACCCAGTATAAATAAATAAAGTGCTGAAATTGTTGTGGGAGAGGAGGTAGGCTTTAACAGAGAAAGAGTGGCCAGTTCAGGCACAGTAGGAAGACTGTAAGAAGCCAGTAGGCATGAATCATGCCCTGAAAGGATTGAGTTAGAAAAAAAGAAAAGGAAACTACTAACATGCATTGTATGCCTATTATATTCCAGGCACTGTTAGGCAATGTTTTATCTTATGTTGGTCTCATTACAGTCTTGCAAAGCATATCTACAAATCCATGTTTCACAGGTGAGGAAACTAAAACTTGGTTAATGTTATCAAGTATTGTCTTTGGTTTCAAATATTGTCAAATACAGCCTCTCTTGCACAACTTCTTTTTTAGACCTCCCTATTTTCATACTTTGTTTTTAGAGAAGTACACCAAACTCATCATGATTGAAGACAATAAGGAAAATAAAGACCATTCCCTAGAAAGAGGAAGGGCGACTCTCATTTTTTCCTTGAAGAATGAAGTTGGTGGACTAATAAAAGCACTGAAAATCTTCCAGGTAAGCACTCTCCATATTTTTATACTTTTGCATAAAATCCTTCTAAAAGGAGTCTCCAGAATTACATTTAAAGTGTAAATTATTGTAAATTCTTCTTAAGCACTTAAATTTCTAAAATACTGCTCAATTCTCATTTATGGAAGAGAAGATACAAATAACTAATAAAGGAGCCGGGAGGAAAGAGTCACTTCACGGATTTCAGAGAAGCAAATTTTAATTAAATAAAATATTAAAATTTAATATTTAATGACATATTCATAATATATTTAATGATATTTTTAAGATAGCAAAATAACAAAGATTCTACAGTTATACTGTTCCCTACTGTCAAAGCTTTAATGCATTCGGGACTTAAATACACCTTTGGTATGAGGGTAACTTAGTATAATGCTTAGGGAAACAATAGGCGGAACAATAGGTAATGCCTTAAAATGTTCTTGTATTTTGAGGCACCTGGGTAACTAACTGTCCGACTCTTGATTTGGGCTCAGGTCATGATCTCACGGTCTTGAGATCAAGCCCCATGGGGTTGGGCTCGGCACTGGATATGGAGCCTGCTTGGGATTCTCTGTCTCCTTCTGCCCCTTCCTCACTTGCTTGTATTCTCTCCCTCCCTCTCTCTCTCAAAAAAAAAAAAAAAAAAAAAAAAAAAAGTTCACATATTTTGATCCAGTAATTTCACTTCGATAAACCCATCCTAAGGAAATAGGGGTCAGGCAGAACATGAATATTTACTGAGTACTTACTGTGTGCCAAGTGCCCTGCTAGAATCTAAGGATGTAGACCTGAACAGAGTAGACACAGTACCTCCCCTCACAGTGTATATAATCTAGGGCGAAAGACAGAAAATAAACAAATAATGATAGTAAATAAATAGTTACATGTGTATAAAGTGACCTAAAAGAAATACCAGATAGTACTATGATAGCATTGAACTGGGGGACCTAACCTGGTTTATGGGCTTAGGGACACAAAGACTTATTTATAAGAACTAAAATTATAAACAAAGTACTTGTCCAAGGAGAGGGAGCAGGTTAAATTATGCTAATAGAACTTCACTGGCATTAAACTCTTACGCTCTGGAGGCAGACCACCTGAGTTCAAATCCTTGCTCTGTCACTTATTGGCTGGGTGACCATGGAAAAATCAATTGGTCTCTCTGTGCTTCAGTCTTTGCATCTATAAAGTGAGAACCCTGCCTCCCTCATAGGGTCATCGTGAGAAATAACAGAGTTAACATATGTAAAGAGCAGATGTTAGCTCTTTTAAAAATCAAGTTTATATCATATGACATGCTATTTTATAGCCATGTGAAAATAATACTTCAAAGAATTAAACATTTTACATAGAGACCAGTAGTCTAGAAGAGTTTGCAATGAAAAGCATGTTTTTCTACTCAATACACCAACCATATCCTAGTCCCATTCCCTAGAGGCAACCACTTTCAACTATTTCTGGTGTTTAATTCCTTTGACGCCGAATTTATGATATCTAAATATTGTTTTGATCCCTCTCTTGGAGTTATCAACTTTACATGATATTCATTTATTCTCTCTTGTGAATGATACCGATAACCATCACTTCTTCCTCTTCCTTCTCCCTAAATTTGATAATTACATGATTATTTTAACTTCTTTATTGATTACCTTTGAGTTTTTAAATAACATACCTTTATTTCTTCTTCTACCCACTGTCTTTTTTATTTTATTTTTAATCAAAGAATGTGTGTGCATGGTTTAAAAAGTGAACCCACACCATAAAGCTTATAAAGAAAATAGTAGTCTTCTGCTTCATGTCTTTTCATTTTTAGGGTAAATTTAATTTATTTTGTTAACCTTAGGGCAGAGGGTTGACTTAATCATATATCTTAGATCACCTGTAAACGATCATCATCGACTTATACAGCCTCCTCCTGTTTTTTTTTTAATTTTTAAAAATTTACATCCAAATTAGTTAGCATATAGTGCTAGCCTCCTCCTATTTTTTATTTTTTATTTTATTTTATTTTTAACGTTTATTTATTTTTGAGACAGAGAGAGACAGAGCATGAACAGGGGAGGGGCAGAGAGAGAGGGAGACACAGAATCTGAAACAGGCTCCAGGCTCTGAGCAGTCAGCACAGAGCCCGACGCAGGGCTCGAACTCACGGACTGCGAGATCATGACCTGAACCGAAGTCAGACGCTCAACTGACCGAGCCACCCAGGCGCCCCTCCTCCTATTTAAAAAAAAAATTTTTTTTTAACGTTTATTTATTTTGGGGAGCTAGAGAGAGCGGGGGAGGGGCAGAGAGAGAGGCAGACACAGGAGCTAGAGAGAGCAGGGAAGGGGCAGAGAGAGAGGCAGACACAGAATCCAAAGCAGGTTCCAGGCTCTGAGCCTGTCAGCACAGAGCCTGACGCTGGACTCGAACCCACAAAGTGTGGGATCATGACCTGGGCGGAAGTCATTCAACCGACTGAGCCACACAGGAGCCCCACCCTCCTCCTGTTTTATTTTATTGTTCCATTCGATCTCCATTTCTCCCGCCTGATACACAACTACTCTGATATGTTTGATCTGTACACTGAGTTATTTTCATGTGCACTTTACAATATGTGGAGTTTTTTGTGCGTGTCTTAGTAATTTAGGTAATTGTAACTGTATGATACACTTTTTCTTTCAGTCAGCACTACCCATGTATCCATTTCCTTTGTTCTTCTAACTGTGGCATCATTTCCAGGGTGCACTCATTCTACTCATCTTCAGCCTACAGGAGGCAACTATTTGAAGCTCTTTTGACTGTCTTTTCTAGTGCTTACTTCTATGGGTTTTTTGCTTGTTTTGTTTCTTGTTTTTTGAAAGGTTTTATTTTTAGGCAATCTCTATACCCAAGATGGGGCTCAAACTTACAACCCTGAGATAAAGAGTCGCATGCTTTACCGACAGAGCGGCCAGGCACCCCTACTTCCATGTTCATAAACAATATGCTCATTCTGGTATTTCTTGATTTTTTTCACTCGTAGATATTACCTACCGATTTCTTGCAATGGAAATAAAGACTTAGCTTTTTTGACACACAGCTCCCTTTCCAGTGGCGCCCTCAACTTTCCTTCCCCTGAATCTTCCCAATGCAGTCATGTCCCAGTTTTTGGCTATGCCAGTTTTTAATGTTTTCAATATTTTTTTTTTTAATTTTTTTTTTCAACGTTTATTTATTTTTTTGGGACAGAGAGACAGAGCATGAACGGGGGAGGGGCAGAGAGAGAGGGAGACACAGAATCGGAAACAGGCTCCAGGCTCTGAGCCATCAGCCCAGAGCCTGACGCGGGGCTCGAACTCACGGACCGCGAGATCATGACCTGGCTGAAGTCGGACGCTTAACCGACTGCGCCACCCAGGCGCCCCTAATGTTTTCAATATTAAAATTATATAAGTCCTGCTCAAAGAAGGCCATATTATCCATTATTTTGACTTCCTTTTTGGTAAACAGGATTACAATTTAGTGTTTAAAAGCATGGAAAGTTTGGGGCGCCTCGGTGGCTCAGTCGGTTAAGTGTCCGACTTCAGCT